ATGGCTAGGGGAAAAGAAGGACTCTCTGAAGAGCAGAAATTTAAGCAGAGATATAACTGATGAACCATAAGAAGTTCTAGAAATTGTGTTCCAGTTTCAGTAAGTATCATGAATTAGCCCATATAGAAAAGGGCTTCATTTATATAAGGAATAGCAAGCATCCAGCTGCAGCTGAAGCAAAGAGATCAAGGAAAAATATAGAAGGCACGATCAGAGATACATAAGCCAGAGGTGGACTATGACAGATCGTGGGAGCTCTGGTGGCACAGTGCCTAAGGCATTTGACTGCTACCCAGAAGGCTGGAGGTTCAAACCCACCAGCCACTCCTGTAAAGGAAGACTGGCAATGTATTTCTGTAGAGATATGGCCTCAGAAACCCAAGGAGGGGTCACTATAATTCGAATCGACATGATGGCAGTGAGTTTGAGTGTTTGTTTTTTTTTTTTTTGGTATAATGGAAATATATTAGAGTTCCTGATCATGGGGTGCCATGATATGATTTATGCTTTAGAGAGATCACTCCAGCTACAGTGAGAAGAACTGAGTGAGGTACAAGTGGAGACAGAGAGATCCATTGTGATGCTAGTGCTCTCATGAAAGAAAGATGATGAAGGAGTAGACTATGGTTTAAGCAGAAAAGCTGGTGAGAAATGGCTGGACTTGGGATATATTTTGAAAGTAAGATAGGCCTGAATTACTGTTGGGTTAGATACAAAGTGTAAGGAAAAGAAAGGAATCTTAAATTTTCAGCCTGAGGAAAATCTAGCAACCTGTCAAGACAATCTAGGCAGGGTCCAGATTATTTAAGGCCTCAGTGATCATGTTTAGGATTTTGGTCTTACCTCAGGAGCAGCAGGAAGTAATGGAGTAGGGATAAAGAGGTAAGATTCCATACAAATTCTGGTGGTTTATAGACCAAGCCCAGCAAACACATACCAGATACCTCAACACCACATGGTAGCCTGCACCACAGCTGATTCCTTCTGGAGAGACTGTTGTTGTTTGCCATCAAGTCGGACACGACTCATAGCGACCCCTCCTTGGGTTTCCAAGGCAGTATCACTACAGAAGTAGATTGCCCCATCTTCCTTCCAAGGAGTGGCTGGTGGGTTTGAACCACCAGCCTTCTGGTTAGCAGTCAAGTGCCTTAGGTACTACGCTACCAGAGCTTCTTCTGGAGAGACTAGGAGCCTGCTTATTGCCACAGATTAAAATTCCTAAAAGGAAATGAATCCAGGTTAAAGCTTATTCTTGAGACATCATGATGTAAATATGCCCTTTACCCCCATCCTTCTACCCCCAAATCTATTCTGAAACTATTGGGATCAATTAGCAAATCTGTAGCCATCTAAACCCACTTTACATCTGCATCATCCCTGGTCCTGCCAATGATAAATGCTCCTTTGTTCTTCTATCCTTTCTCAAACTCCCAGCCTCAATCTGCTGTTACCTTCTTTGTCTTCTGACCCAAACTCTCACTGCTTTTCTCTATCTTTCCTGTGTCCCCTTTTACATGGTTAATAAATACCTCTACATTCTGACCCTCTCCAAGGAACATTCCCTTTGTCAATCACTTTTAACTTAATGTGGCTCTTGCATGATACGACCACTCTCAAAGGGGAAGTTCCTTATTCTCCAAACCCTCACATAGTTCAAAGTCAAGAATGCAGAGATACATAATATTTGTGAAGCTAAGACTGAACTGCTAACCAGAAGGCTGGAGGTTCAAACCCACCAGCGACTCCTCAGAAGAAAGACTAGGCAATCTACTTCTGTAGAGATACCACCTCAGAAACCCTCTAAAGAGAGGTTGCTATGGATCAAATCAACTCCACGGCAGTGAGTTTTTTGGTTTTAAGACTGAATATGGAAAAGATGTGTCATTTTAAAGAGACTGGTAAAGACTCTAAATTCACAAGGAAGAACAAAGGTTGAAAACCACCTATTACCTAAACATTAAACACTAGAGGATTAGCTCAAAAAACTAAAATAGAAGGACATACTATGAAGTCATTAAAAACTCACGAAGAATACTTAATGCCTTTTGGGAATGTTCATGCATATAATAATATTTTTTAAAAAGATTACTAAGCAGTACATATAGCCTGATTAGGTTTAAGAGAAAGAACAGTGTGGGGTATGTTACTCATAGAAAAAAAGGTAATACATAAGGCACACCAAAAAGTTATCTCTAGGTGGAAGAAATAAGATTTTTATTTTCTTTTTCATGTTTTCCCCATTTTCCTTAATCTCCACAATGAATTCATTTCTTTCATAAACAGAAAAAAAGTCAAAAAATGGTATTTAAAAAGATCACAGTCATAACATACTTTATAGTATTTTCCTATCCTCACTTCCTCCAAAACCAAAGGGAAGAGGAAATAAAACAAATAACATTTTCAAGTCTTTGAGATGACTGCTCAGAACTTCAAAGTCATTTTTAAAAAAACTAAACTCATGACTTTTTTAACCATATCATTGACTTACATGATTCAATTAAGTATTCTCTTTTGAATATCTAAGTTTACCATCCAAAGCAAATAGAAATAGGAGGGGAGGGGAGGGAACAATGCATAAATAAATAAATGCAAATAGAAATATGCTGGGTTTCTTAACTGTAAAACTAAGAATATACTGTTGATTTCTATAGCTTTATAAAGATCCACACACATTATTTCTGCATAAAAAAGAGTGCTAGTCATTCATGTATTTTTTTACTGTTCTATAAAAAGATTTTCTCTTTGTTAATTTCCTTTAAGGAAGACACAAATTATTTATACAATGCACAAAAGTAGTAACATAAAAGTGGAAAAATGAAAAGTCATTCTCAGTAACTAAACTACCAAAGAAAAAAAACTAAGAACAGAAACTTCTCTCTCAAGTGAAGGTAGTGGCACAATTGTATTTGGCATAAAAATAATCTCAGATGATTTTAAATTAAGCTATCACTTTTTCAAGAGATACCCTTTTTCTAAACGCTTACTCTTTTTAATTTAGCTTTGGAAATAATACTTCCTTCCTAATTCCACTGGACATAATTGCTTACTACAGAATCTGCATGGGCCAAAAGAACATTTTTGGAATATATTCTCTTCACTGTTATTTCACTGTATTATATAACATAAATGTGTAATTATCGCAGTTTATATTTTTAACAAAATTAACTACTATCATTAAAATTTGCTTTTATTTTAAATCGTATCTGAAAAGTTGAACATTATGCCAAAGAATTCAGCATTTTTGAAAAGAACAGTTGATGAAATTAGTATAATGATGAAGAAGAATTTAACCTCTCCTCTCTAAGGAAAGTGCAACAGTAGATGCTTTTTAAGAGATGTATCATCTGTCCTCCAGGAATCTTCAGTCTCCATGAGTTACCACTGCCCCAGCTCTTTCTCAAATTACCAACAGCCAAAATAATCTCCTCTAAAATTCATTACAAATTAGAAGATAGTTTCTAATTGTTAGTAACATATATTTAAATTTTGTCTTTTAAAAAAGTGAACATGGATCTAACAAGAGTGATGAACTAAACTGATGAAACAAATGGACAAGGCAGGCGCAGAGGACTGAAGAGAAGAAGAAAAGGTCAGAGGGAGGACACTATACATATATAGAGACAAGTCTTGGTCAGCATTTATAATACACCTCTATGACTAGGACCTATACTGCTCCCTTGGTCAGAGACCACTCTAAAGCTATTACTAATGCCCAGGGCATTGTCAGAAAATGAGACTAAAAGGTGCTAAGCAGTCCTGAGGCTATATATTTTAATTTCATTATTAAAAATTATATATTTACATTTAAATTTCCTCATAATGACGCTGGATTGAAACAGCTTTATTGCTTTAGTGTATGTTATCTCGATTCGGCAAGTGAATCACCTAACCTCTTATTAATTGAGAAAAATCATATTACTGTGATTTAGCAGAGATTATATTAATTTTACCACAGTGGGAGGCTGTCTTGCTATGCAAAGTAATTAAACAAAATTCCATATATTTTCACAGCTTTCCATACAGAAACATATTCCATTCACATCAGAATCTTTGTAAGAAATTCATAGCATGTGCTCTGAATTTAAAAGTGAACAAGAGATTTATTTTCTTCAAACATGGGCAAATTTAAAAGGTAGTTGAAAGTCATTTACTTTCACACAACCTAAAACATACTGTTAGCACTGCAGGGACAAAGAGGCTCCAAATTACAAAGGTCAGTTAAGTAAAAGAGGGCAAAGACAGCAGAACTTAGATGCTAAGAATAAAAACAAAAATAGATCCAATGCAGCATTTTGAGAACGAAGATCAATTAAAACAGTTGCTTAATATCAAATCACTTATAGCATTATTCTATATTGTTATGAGAGATCCTGTCAATTCCAACATTTCCTCTTTGCTGGTCCCTGATATTTACCTTAAGAAAACTAATATTTAAGTCAAAAATTTGTGCCATCTAAGCTAAAAAGATATATATTGCCTCAGTTGAAAATTGCTTAGCTATCATGATAAACAGTAAGTGAAAACATACGATAAAAATACAAATGGGTATCAAGGGGAGAGAAGTAACATGTTTTATTTAACTATTGATCCAAGTAATAAGGCAGCAGGTTGTCTTTCCGATCAAAACTACTTTTACAGCAATATAAATGCCCTTGCTTGCTCAACAGTGAAGGTCTTAAAAAGAAGGAACGGAGAGGATGAGGTTCAGGAAATTATGACATAAAACACAGAAAAAAGACTTAAGTATGAATGAGGAATATATGTTATCATTTAATGCTATAATTCTCAGAAATTCTAAGTAGAATAAGCAATCCATACTTCTGACAGCAAAGCAATTAAAGAGACAGTTAACACAGCAAATCAGCAATAAAGTAGTAAATAATGGCATATATATTTGTTTATCTTAATCAGTGGGGAAAAAAATCAGTACATAAAGACTTCATAGCCTCAAACTAGTAGTTCCAAAAATACAATGATTTGGTAGCTCTCTATCTTCTTACCTGTAAGGACAGCTTTTGCGGACGGATCTGCCAGGTCCAGGGCTGATTTCCCATCAGTGTTCCGAATGTTTGGATCAGCTCCGTGCTGCAGTAGCACTGTGCAGGGAAAGCAGAAACAATATCTTAACTCAGGGATACAAAGATTATTTACTGGTAAGTGGAGTCTCGGCATGGTGTAGGCATAAACATACATTGCACAATTTATTCTTTTTCAAAAAAAAAAAAAGAAGAAGAAGAAAAAGGGGGGGAACACTGCAGCAAAGGATCTTCTCTAGAGTGAAGCAAAGTTGGCAACTTATGGTACAGTATTATCACATGACCTAACATCATAAACATGAAACTAGAAGAATCTGAAAATGTGCAGTTTTGGTTTCCCTTCTCAGACAGCAGGATGGGAAGCTATATGCTCACTGACTCAACTGAAATATGCTGTGAACCTGCCCTGTCTTTACTACCACTGTTGCTGCTTGTTGCTGGTTCTGGTGCTGCTGCTGCTTTACTGCTGGATTTTCAAATGCTTCCTCTCCTCAGGATAGTTGTAATAATCGTACAAGCCTTTTAGTGGCTCACAGCTTACATATGAAACTCACTATAACATACTGGCTTGCTTCCAAGAATTTTAACAGACATAGATATGATATGCAACTCCAGTCCCCTGCAGTCTAAGCTGCAAAAAAAAGAACCGCTTTCTACAATATTCTTTCCATAGAAAATTTTTAGAAACAGAAACTCAATTACTATAATATATGCTAAGAAATATACTATTTTGGGTAGAAAGTAGATACAGAGAATTAATTCTTAGATATAGAGACTCCTACAAAAGAGAGAATCACTATTTAAGTAAAATCCAGATATAATTATTTTATTAATCTAAAACATTTATCAGTTACTTCTGATGTGTGAGTGTATATATTACAGGGGGGCGCTATAATATTATCCAACCAATGTTCAACTAATAAATATAATAAAAGCTAATTCAAATAAGCACACTTCATCATAAGAAATTCTAACCGTTAAAACAGGTATGATTTTGAGTATTTCTGATGAGAACACATGTTGCTATTTGTCACAATTTAGAATAAATTTCAAACAAAATAGAAATACTACATTCAAGTAATAAGTGGTTAAACAAATGTTATATAATGTCTAAAAGCACCTGAGCAACTACTGTTGATAAACCCCAAATTTTCATTAACAGTTCCATGATAACATAATTTAGTCTTTGGAACATTTAGAAAGAAATCCTCATATATCATTAAGTAATGAATCTTGTTGTTTATAAAGCTCTTCCTCGTCTTTTAATGCACAACCCATGAAGTCAATGGCTTTGTTATAATGTACAAAGGAACGGCCACATACACAATTAGGACACAGCTGCTCTTGCATTAGATCTGATGTAATCTCAGACTTGAAATATCATAAAAACTAGCCATGGTGTAAGAAGATGCAGTGGGATCTTGCAACAATTTTCTATATTATTATTGTGTTCTAGAATGTAAACAATGAACGTATTATTTTCCAGATGTTTATAAACTGACTCAAGAGTAAGCAGAATAAAATAAAAGTACCACATATAAAATTACAGTTACTCTTCCATCCTAATGACTGGAGAAATTAGAGTAACACTTCTTTAATTCCAGAAGAAAAAAAAATGCTCTTACATGGCTTGTACATGAAGAGTACATGAAGCGTCTTTATCATGAAGCAGATGCATATATCAAACGTAAAGCTGATAACAAACAGCTTGAGCAACTGAATGATCACATGCAAAGGGTAGGAAAACAATAAATAACAGCTATCATGAAAAGGGACCATTCCCTGGAGAAGGATGTCATGCTTGGTAGGGTGGAGGGTCGACGAAAGAGGGGGAGGCCTTCAACGAGATGGATTGATATGGTGGCTGTGATGATGGGATCAAGTATAGCAGGGATTGTGGGGCTGGCGCGGGTTCGGGCAGTGTTTCGTTCTGCTGTGCATGGGGTCGCTATGAGTCGGAAACGACTCGACGGCACTTAACAACAACAACATCATGAAAAGCAGAGTTTTTTACTGCATGCTTAAGAACTTTAAAACCTACTTTAAACAAGAAATAAAAGAATATGTTAATCTAACAGGACTTGGCAATAATATGATTAGAGCTTTCATAACGCAGCTTAATGAATAGCAGAGGCAAAATACTGAAAGGCTTACTTATTGCACCTTCAAAAGTCACTTAAAACTCTTACCTACTTTATTGTTATCAGTATTTTACCTATTACATCTTTCAACAGAAATCTGCAGTTTTGTTTTCTTTTAACCAGTTGCTGGCAACACAACTATGACTCATGGTGATCCCATGTGTGCCAGAGTAGCACTGAGGTCCACAGGGTCCTTAATGGCTGATTTTCTAGATGTAGATTTTGAGATCTTCCCTCTAAGAAGCCTCTGGCCTGAACTGCCAATCTTTCAGTTAGCAACCAAGCATATTAATCGCATCCATCACCCATTGATTCCTTGAAAATATTTAACCATTTTTAATTCACCAGATAGGGAGTTGAAAAACAAAACTAACCAACACATATGGGTTTAAAGAGACAAGCTATTTTTAAAAAAATGATATATGGAAACAACAAATGCTGGCAAGGGTATGGAGACTGGAACTCTCACACACTGCTGGTGGAACTATAAGATGACATAACCACTGTGGAAAATGGTATGGTGCTTCCTTAAAAAGTTGGAAATAGAAGTATCATCCCACTTCAAGGAATATAACTTAAAGAGGTGAGATGTATAACATGCATAGATATATGCACACACATGTTCACAGCAACACTATTTACAAAAGCAAAGAGATGGAAATAACCTAAGTACCCATCAACAGATGAATGAATAAGCAAACTATGTTACATATACACAATGGAATACTACGCAACATTAAAGAGTACGAAAGAATCAGCAAATCATCTCATAACGTGGATGAACTTGGAGCACACTATGCTGAGTCAAATAAGTCAATCACAGAAAGACAAATATTGTATGAGTTTCTTTGTTGCTTACCAAGGATGGGAGGAGAGGTGAGGGAGGGAAAATAGATGAATAATTAAGAGACAAAAGCATGAGACTAGCACAGTATCACTAAGGAAAAGGAAGACATGGAGAGGTACACAAGAAGTACAACATAGGCAAATACTACTGCAGACACAATACTGTATTATCAATTACAGCAAACACTAATATATCAGTGGATACACAGGTAGACAGGTATGGATAAGCAAATGGGAATATACCTATGAGCATGCATAGATTTGGCAGATGATATTCTTACATATGTATTAGCATGTGCCATAAATATGTCCACATGCAGTTTACGTATAACAAGAGGCAAAGTTAGGATAACTTCTTAGCCACACATAAGCACCTGAAGGGAGTGGGTCACTGGGCCTGTGGCTTAGGGATGATGGTCACTGGCGACATCAAGCTCAATGGGCACAAGATGGTATACAAAAACATTGTTCTACATCTTACTTTGGTGAGTAGTCAGTGGGGTCTTAAAAGATTACAAGCAGCTATCTAAGTGGCAATCATTGGTCTCTCCTTCTCAGGAGCAAAGAAGACTGAAATAAATCAAAGATGCATGGAAATAGTCCAAAGGACTAGTGGACCATGAGAACCTCAATCTATATATGATCTTGAGACCTGAAGAACTAGACGGTTCCCTGCTATCAATGTCAACCACTCGGAAAGGGACCAAAATTAGAGATCCTGGATAGAGTGGGAGAAAAATGCGGGACAAAACTCAAAATCATAAAAAAGACCAGTCTGATAGAGATTGGTGAAATCCCTGAGATTACTGCCCCGAGTCACTCTTCAGGCCTGGAATTGAACTCACTTCTGTGGCTTAACTCTCACTGAAACAAAAGACAGGCCTAACAGCTGAACACCTAGACCAGGGAGATGCATTTCTTAGAATAATCAACCCTGGGAGATCAGAAGGATAGCATTTGCACAGAGAGAAAGGCAGGGAGACAAGAATGTGTAGGCAAGAAGTATACATAGAAAAGGTAAACATAAGGAGAAAGTGGGAGGTGAGATGTTACATGGTGGGGAATGTAACCAATATCACAAAACAAAATGTGTATGAATTGTTGAATGTAAAACAAATCTGCTTTATAAAACTTCATCCAAATCACAATAAAAAGGTAAAAAGAAAAAAAGTGAAATATGTAATACATCCTAGAGTTAAAACACATTCAGACCACTCCTTCTATAGAACTATAAACCAAATTATAATATTGTGCAATGTTTTGGTGTGTGGTAGTTAAATTTGAATGTCAACTTGGCTGGGCCTGGCTGAATGGCTGGGCAGCTGGTGGTTGTTATTCCCCACGATGAGACTGCCAATCAACTCCATGGTGGAATCTACCACAAGCAGCTAAATAGCTACCTTTGGGATGTGGTCTGCTTCCTGTATGTAAGGAGAAGCCTTGGGGATAGTCTCTAGCTTATGGCACACTTGAACCCTGCATGTAGCCGTGTTGTTGTTCAGCAGCCTGCCATGCTCTGCCAACCTTGGGACTTAGAATGGACTTACACTAATGGCCTGCGTGTGATTTGGTAATATCGGCACTGTGCCTTTTCACTTGTCAACCTTGGGCTTGGCAGCCTCAGCAGCCAGCAGCTGTCTAGGTGAAGAAAAGCCTCTAGCGTCAGTGGGCTGGGAGCTGGAAGCAGAGCTGAAGCCCAAGGCTGAGGGGCTTTCACCAAGCCCCTAGAGCCTAGCACTTTGAACTTGGACATAAAGCCTCCAAACTGTTAGAGAATAAACTCCTGTTTGTTAAGGCCATTCCATTTGTGGTATATTTTTGTCAGAGTGACGCTAGGTAACCAGAAGATGGTGTTATAACAATATCATATGCCACGAATTTCTAGACATCCACTCTTCATTTATCGACAGTTAGGTTCCGAGGGCTAGGTCGTTAGGCAAAAATCAGCGTGATGAGAAAACAGAAGATTACCACATCAGATCAAAAAATGGAGGGTGAATACATTATTACATAAATGTCAAATTAAATCATTACATAAGCACCAAATTACATCACCGCATAACTGCCAAACCA